ATAGTATTAAAAGTCACATGTGTCTAATACTAACACATGATAGTATTAAAAGTCACATGTGTCTAATACTAACACATAATAGAATTAAAAGTCACATGTGTCTAATACTAACACACAATAGTATTAAAATTCACATGTGTCTAATACTAACACATAATAGTATTAAAAGTCACGTGTGTCTAATACTAACACACAATAGTATTAACAGTTACTGTCTTCCTTGTCAATAAATTTATTTTAACCATTAAGGTCAATTTTATTTTAAGGCTAGTTGCATTTTATGTTATTTTTAGAAAGAATTTGTATTCACGTTTCCTGTTACATGTATGTTTCAGTTTCCTATGCAATCGTGTGTTTCAGCAAAAGATTATTTTAACTATCAATATCAAGATTATCTTGATAAACATATATCACCTTAGTAAAGTAACTAATGATTGTATTAGTTACATTTATTAGCAACCTGTGGTTATCTCATAAGGCATTTAAGGATCCCTGTCCCACTGCCCTGTAGTTTTACGTACACACAGTTACCTCCCCTTACCTTCCATTTAGATATAGCTGTAGTATATGTACAGTTGGGCCCGAACACTTCCGTTGACTCATCAATCAGTTAGGGAGATTGTATAACAGTCGGAAGTCCAGGGTTGGAATCCCCGTCTAGCCCCTCTAAATTTTTACATTCAGAACACAATTATTGATAATATTTTGTTTATTTCATCTTCATTATTATTTACATTTTCAGAAATGATTTTACAAAGACACAGTCATGCCAGAATAATATATTTTCCAGGACTTTTTTAAAAAGTTTTTAACAGTGGTACAAGGGCTCCTTAAGTGAGCCCGCTATGATAGAAGTTCTGATAGAGATGTATTTTACGGTATATTTGTGAGTGAGCAGTGCTGGCTGCCAGGTTTCCAATTCTTTCTCTAGTCACTGTTTCTTTGTCTAACTTTATATATGTACCATGTGGTGAGTGGTTTATGTCAAATAAATATCTATACCAAAAGTTATCTCTGTTTTTGACTTTGATTCTAACAACTTGACGTAAAAAAGGGAAGAGATGACTTAGTTTCCACCAACTTCACGTAAAAAACAGAAGGAGAAGACTTTTTCCAATTTGACGTCAAAACATCAGGAAGGGATGACTTTGGTTCTACTAATTCGACATAAAGATTGCACCACAACCGGTATTGTACATCATCTAGTATATATTTTTGGAAGTGAGCTGACCTAGAAGTATAAACATCTTTGGGATTGCACCACAACCCGAAGTGACCTGGAAGTGAAAATATATGGAAGTGTACTTACATACATGCTACTACGAACTTGACTTTGATTCAACTTCACGTAACACACACCCCTCCCCCCCCCATCCCCCCACCCCACAAGAAAATAATAAAGAAAAGTTTCATTTTATAACTATTTATATTATTATTTTAATAATATGTTTATAGTACAGAATTAATACAAAATAAAATAACACATTTCATTGTATTATATGTCATAATAGCAGCATAAAGACTACAGAATGGATATATTTGATATTTATATATAATTAATATTGAAATATTTTAAATTTTAACATTTGTTATTAAAAATCTTAAAGTCTTATATGATGTATTATTACATTTGATATGATACGCTTCCAGCTTAGATAGAACACGATCCTAGACAGAAGGGTTAACCACAGGTAAAAGCACAGGTAAAAACTGCCAATACTACTTAGAAACAGACCAGTCTTATTGATTATGTTTTAGTCCCTGATACTATGTTAAAGACCATAGCACAGTTTGAGTCTGGTGTTTTTAATCATTTTTCTAGCCACTCTCCCGTATCATTCTCATTACCCTCGTTGTTTTCCGCCGTTCAAGAACCTATTAACTACAAATAAAGTTTTAATTATGATTGTATCAGTCATTCTTGTTACATTTCAATACTACAAGGTATAAAACAACTGAACCTGTGTAATCTTACATTTACCGGTTAATTACATTTTGTAAACATCAGTGTAACAAACTGTTTAATATTCATTATAGTTGATATATCGATACATGAACAGAAAAATGCCTAAAAGACATGTCTGAAAAATTAGGGTAGGTGATTAAAAAAAATCAATTTTAATAACGATTTATTAGAAAGGTGATTTTGACTTAACATTGCTTCCCTGAAAATAATCAAAAAGTATCTAAGGGAAGACACAAAATGTTACAGTAAGTAACCGAAAATAACACCATTTTCTTTTTCCTATAATTTTGTAAAAATCTAAAACCATTTGATATTATTAGGAAACTAAGTTTTCCGAGAAACAAACCATTAAGATACATTTTTAAGATGAAATGAAAAAATCCTAATGAAAAAACAACTTAAAAACACAAAAAACAAAGGCCTTAGTCCAGCTCACTTACTAAATCGTTGATCATTCCAATGACCATGTATTGTCTGTTGGATGAAACAAACTAGTTACTTTTGTTTGTCAGGTTACCACGATCATGAAAAACAATTACATTCACTGTTAATTTGTCTCTACAATGTGAATTGATATTTGAGGATAGTTCATACAAACTGCCTTGGAATGTTATTTACACGTGTACCGTATATTACTATTTCTTCATGTTACAGTCCATCACGTGTACGGTACCGTCCTCACACCCGATCCACACGTTACCACACGTGTCCACACCCAGTACTGTAGGTTTCACCACTCCGTGTGTCTTGTCCAGGAGACACATGGCTTGTTTACCGTCTCTCGGTAGGACGTACACCTGGTTGTTGTGGTTATCTGGTACAAATACTCTATCGTACTTATCACATGACATCTTCCAGAGGTGCATACGACCGACCTTTTGACCGTTGTCGAGTTCACCAGTCCATGTCTGTATGACGGTACCTGACTCGTCTGTTATCTTTATGTTCATATCAGTCCACTTTCCTCCAGTTGTTTGAACTACACACAGACGTCCCGATGACAAGCAGACAACGTGCTTTATTCTTTCCAATCCAATCGTGACCTTCCTTATAATCGTGCCTGACTGATTCAGTACCACTATGTCTGGTGTACCTGTAGTAACAAACACCTCGCCCCACTCGTTGATACTGACGTCACATGCCGTATGTCGTCTGATGTCAGCAAATGTTGTCACTTGTTTTTTGTGTAGTGATAGTTTATATACAAATGTACTATCTTGATAACTGGTCAGAAGTATGTCTGTTGCCCCGACCATGGTGATTCTGAACGGACAGAAGTTCAGTTTTACTGTCTCTGTGACCACACCCTCCTTGTTAACCAGCACCAGACCCTGGTATTGTTTTATTGCTAACCACGCGTGACTGTCGTCGACTGGACATATACCGAATATTAGATTATGTTGAATAACAGTAAACTTAGAGAGACGCTGAACGTGTTTACTGTCGATGTCTATCTTCTCGTACTGGATAACGTGGTGTAATTTACCAAACGTTTTCGTCAACATGACACGGTCGATACTTTCGGTAACAAACCTTGGTTGTTTTGGTGAAACATATCTGACATTAACGTCATACAGGGGCAGCTTTGTCCTCAATGACCTTTCTGTTTCAAACAAGGATACGCTAGATGTATCTGTCATTTCCGCTTCGTTAAGCAGACGCGTCAGTTCTTCGACTTTTTTCTCTGATCGCTGACAATCTTTCTTGTACATAGCTGATTCTTCTTTTTCTAAAGCCGATAATTCAGCGAGTATCGCATCAGCGATAGAATCTACTTCTGCCTTTAACTTTGTCCTTTTAGAGTTCACCTCTTTCCTCACTGTATCAATGTTATCATTGAAACCGTCGTTATCATGATGTCGCTCTGATGTCTCGTTCTTGAAATGTTCTATTTTAGCAGAAATTGCTGTCATATGCTCTTTCAAATGTTGCCTTTTAGAAGAAAATTCATCTTCGAAAGGCTCCCAGTTGTGGTTTTTGTGAGTTTTAGATAAACATATCCCACAAAGCAATTCATTGCAGTCCGAACAGAAGAGATCGCACAGTTTACCGGAATGTAGTTTACATACCTCTGGTACAGGCTTGTCGCCCTGACGGTTAGCATCCCCTATCGGTACGACGTCATCGTTTTTAGTTTTCTTTGCGCGTATATGGAAATCCTTACACCGGTCACATAAATTCTCCTGACAGTCGTTGCAATACCATCGTACCTCGTCCCCACTGTCACACAAAGCACACGTGTAGGTAACGGGTTCCTGGGCACGCCGTACGGATCTGTTACTTGCCATGGTGTTGGTTATTTAATGAGTTTGAAGGAATAATTTGCCTACAAACTGTGAACTGCCACCATTTTGTTTCTATGTCAGTAAAGCTTCCGTGTTACGGGTATATCACGTGATTTAAATGACAGACATGACCCCAACTCCTGGCGTTAGGCCAAAAATAGCCTCAATAAAAGACAGATCTTGCTATCGTGTATACATGTGTAATAATCATAGCATGAATTTACATAATATTGTATTTGGACATCAATGGGGAGAGCCTTCCAGTGTCGGTAGATGATCGTATACATACATTTATGTACGGAAGCGTTATAGGCTCACAGATAAAATATTTTTGCAATCACAAAAAATATTGTCGTATACGAGCCTAATACGCTTTCGAATACGAACGTATGTATGCATAGTAATTTAGGTTTTACCACGGACTTTGATATTCTAATTTAATTCCGTGGTTTTACCTTAAACTACCGACGAAGAATCCCCTGTTGCGTCCGTTTATGTACAAACACAGATCCGTTAGATGTGGAGGAGTATCCGAGTCATAAACCAATCAGTATCTTGTTTCAAAGTTAACTAATGTTTATTTATTAACACTCAGCTTTGCTAGCCGTTTATACATGGCAGAAAATATGGCAAGCCTGTTGTTTTCTTTACAGCCTCCAGGATTTTAAGAGGACAAATGCGTCACTGTTGCTCCCCACATTATCATACCGGGTGTGTTTATATTTTCAAATCCATTCATTCATTCATTCTTTATTACTGAACACCTTGCGGTTTATCAGTACAGTGCAAATTATACAGTACAGATACATACAAAGAATACATCACTCCGGCACGATCAAATTAGAGCGACAGTGTAGACAGTTAAACTGAATCTCCTTTTTCCGACTTTGTCTCAAAATATTTTGCTAAATTAGACAATTCTTTATTATTTGTTGTTGTCTTCAAATCTAAATCAATTGCCATACTAGGTTTTTATGACAATATCTTTTAATGAAACGGTTTCTTAAACCAGTATAATGACTACATTTAACAATAAAATGATAGTCGTCTGCGATATCGCCAGTGTTATAATATATACAAAATATACAGTAAATGTAACTGATACTATGCTGCCATCAGTATCCACTGGTACTCGCTCTGGTAACCGGGTCCATAGACTCAATGCTAGTGCTGCTAGCTTTGCACCTTTGAGTCAGTCTTTGACTTCAACACCAGTACAGACCAAGTGACAGTCTTGTTGATCATGTGTGTATATATCATTGTGTATTTCAATTCTATAAATGATTTTTATTCATGATTCGCTATATCACTGCTCGTGTACCAGTTCGACTGTGAATCTATATACCATGTATAGTTTGAACTGTTTAATCTGTTAATTTCATCATCTGATATAATTTTCCAACATCAAGTTTCCTGTACATGTACTTTCACATAGTTATCCCCCTTTGATCTTGAATTATAACAATAATTATTCTGTATTTTCACAGGAACATGTAAGCAATGGAGCCATTTATTGTTGTGCAGTAAGTATACCGAGTTATTGTTGTTGATGCTTGTTGCCTACAAAAGAACTTAAGTTTTCATTGCTTTAACTCTATGTGAAATTTTACTAATTGAAAGGGTTCTTGTAATGCTTATTCTATTATGAAATAATTTATTTATATTTACCTATAGCTACAATAGATTTGATCTATTTATACTATACAAATATACTACGAGTGCCCAATATTTCATTTTGCTTGGCTAGCGTTGCTTGATTATTCACGTAATGCATGAATTCTTATATCGTTACATTTCACATGTTCATGTGCTTGTTTTGTTTTGTCCTTTCAATTTGCTCTGATGAATCTTGTTGCTCATTTACTTTCCCTATATTTATTCAACTCTAACACATTATCTTTCTATAACTACAATAGCTCAGCTACTGATTTATATCCCTTACCAAAATAAGTAAGCTCGATAAATTGCCTTTAACTATGGTTTGAAACCTAATCCATGTAATATATCATATAATATTTGTATCGTTAGTAATTAATCTTTTATTTTCGCATAGTTAATTTAATTATTCATGTCTGGCGTCATTACATGAAAATGCACTTGAATAATATTTTTGCTTGATTATTAATTTGCAAGCAAACCACTTAACTATATTTGGTCTATACTCTATATACATGTATGGTCTACTATATACATGTATGGTATACTATATACATGTATGGTATACTATATACATGTATAGTATACTATATACATGTATGGTATACTATATACATGTATGGTATACTATATACATGTATGGTATACTATATACATGTATGGTATACTATATACATGTATGGTATACTATATACATGTATGGTATACTATATACATGTATGGTATACTATATACATGTATGGTATACTATATACATGTATGGTATACTATATACATGTATGGTATACTATATACATGTATGGTATACTATATACATGTATGGTATACTATATACATGTATGGTATACTATATACATGTATGGTATACTATATACATGTATGGTATACTATATACATGTATGGTATACTATATACATGTATGGTATACTATATACATGTATGGTATACTATATACATGTATGGTATACTATATACATGTATGGTATACTATATACATGTATGGTATAGTATATACATGTATGGTATACTATATACATGTATGGTATACTATATACATGTATGGTATACTATATACATGTATGGTATACTATATACATGTATGGTATACTATATACATGTATGGTATACTATATACATGTATGGTATACTATATACATGTATGGTATACTATATACATGTATGGTATACTATATACATGTATGGTATACTATATACATGTATGGTATACTATATACATGTATGGTATACTATATACATGTATGGTATACTATATACATGTATGGTATACTATATACATGTATGGTATACTATATACATGTATGGTATACTATATACATGTATGGTATACTATATACATGTATGGTATACTATATACATGTATGGTATACTATATACATGTATGGTATACTATATACATGTATGGTATACTATATACATGTATGGTATACTATATACATGTATGGTATACTATATACATGTATGGTATACTATATACATGTATGGTATACTATATACATGTATGGTATACTATATACATGTATGGTATACTATATACATGTATGGTATACTATATACATGTATGGTATACTATATACATGTATGGTATACTATATACATGTATGGTATACTATATACATGTATGGTATACTATATACATGTATGGTATACTATATACATGTATGGTATACTATATACATGTATGGTATACTATATACATGTATGGTATACTATATACATGTATGGTATACTATATACATGTATGGTATACTATATACATGTATGGTATACTATATACATGTATGGTATACTATATACATGTATGGTATACTATATACATGTATGGTATACTATATACATGTATGGTATACTATATACATGTATGGTATACTATATACATGTATGGTATACTATATACATGTATGGTATACTATATACATGTATGGTATACTATATACATGTATGGTATACTATATACATGTATGGTATACTATATACATGTATGGTATACTATATACATGTATGGTATACTATATACATGTATGGTATACTATATACATGTATGGTATACTATATACATGTATGGTATACTATATACATGTATGGTATACTATATACATGTATGGTATACTATATACATGTATGGTATACTATATACATGTATGGTATACTATATACATGTATGGTATACTATATACATGTATGATATACTATATACATGTATGGTATACTATATACATGTATGATATACTATATACATGTATGGTATACTATATACATGTATGATATACTATATACATGTATGGTATACTATATACATGTATGATATACTATATACATGTATGGTATACTATATACATGTATGATATACTATATACATGTATGGTATACTATATACATGTATGATATACTATATACATGTATGGTATACTATATACATGTATGATATACTATATACATGTATGGTATACTATATACATGTATGATATACTATATACATGTATGGTATACTATATACATGTATGATATACTATATACATGTATGGTATACTATATACATGTATGATATACTATATACATGTATGGTGTACTATATACATGTATGGTGTACTATATACAGTGAATACATATTAAAAGCAACCAATATTTCAATTTGCTTTTGCAGCTTAATTTGCTTAATTTTTCGTGTCTTGCTTGTGTTCTTACAATTCTATTTAATTTTATTATTTATTTAGTTATTGATTATTTTTTTCATGTTTATGTGCTTTTTGTAATGATCCTTGTGTCTGCTTTTGATAAATATTTTTGTTTTTCTCGGTTTTTCCTAAGGTATTTAACTCCATGTTATATTAATCATTGGATACTTACAAATTATTCTTTTCGTCTTAATTGTGATAATGGGACTACTGTATACTTATGTCACTTGCTTAATCACTAATAGCATTAGATTACTTTCTGAAAAGGTTATCTCCCTTACACCATTGATAATCTATAACTTGTCTGATATAATTATAGTGTACTAAATCTTAATAGATATAACATGATTGTCTCAAATGATAGACTTTATGTTCTGTCTGGTGAGATAAATCTTCATTTATATACTGTTTATAATTATTTGTATATATGTATTTAAATATAATTAATTAATTTATCTGCTTCAATTGAAATTTATAATTTTATACTGAGTTGTAGTTGAGCATGTTACACTGAATTCAGGAAACTTCTGTTATTAAATGTGTTGATACTACTTAAGTTCAGTATACAACTCCCTATAAAATCCATATTTAATATATCAAATTGATGTTTTCCACATTCTGAGATTATTATTTTCGATTGAGTCCCTACTGTTATTTCTTTCCTCTTGTTTCTGCATAACTTGACATTGTGTGTGATTGTAAGCTATGTTATAGATCTTGCTTTATAACTGCCTG